GTAGCAAAGGGAAATTAACATAAGAGTATCCCAACTGCTTAAGACTGACAATAAAATTATACAATAGTTTAATAAGAGAATACAGATTACCGAAACCATATGGATATATAGAAGGAGTCTGCAAAATGGAATACAGCTCTATACATTTGAATTTGTGTGACAGTAGCTTCTGTTCGCTTTGTGAAAATTGCTGGGTTACCTTACTGTAAATAGTTGGGACGTCAGAGTTACATACATTAGCAGAGGGGAAAAAACCAAGCTGGCAATTTACAGTGTACTGTGGTGACAGGTTTGAATGTACAGTGAATAAACCAGGGTGGAGACAGTTCTTATGGGGACCAAATTGACTTTAAGACAGACCTTTTCCTTACATAGTTATCAGCCATATATTTTAAGATTCTGTTTCTAGACTCTCTAAGGAAGTAATAATGCAGTGATTTGCAAAACCTATTTGGTGCAGATAGGGGCACAAATTCATCAAAGATGAAATTCTTCAAAAGACTGGACGCTTGTTCTTGGTGGGAAAAAAAAAGAAAGAGTAAATCCTATAGGATAATGTCACAGGTTTTACTTTTTAAATTTTGATGGTTTATAAAGATGGAGGTGACTCATGTTAGAATGGATAGAAGAGAAAACAGTGTCTTGCAGATATATTAAAAGTAAAAAGTCAGTACATTTAGAAATACATTTTTTAAATCTACTTGGTTCTAGAGTGAAGTATATAAAAGATTCTGCTTTTTATTTTATTTCTTGAAAAATCAGTAAGTCTAATCCATAGTCATTCTGGCTGCATCAACATTTTTTCTATGCACGGCACATAATCTGTCCCTCAATTTATCTTTAGCTGGCGCAACCTTTAATTTCATGGGTTTTGTCATTATTTTATTAATCTACATCACTTGCTTGACATTTGAGCAACTTAATTTCAGTTTCTTCTATTTCTGCATTCACTTCAAGTGTGTGACCAAGTCTGTCTCTCACATTACACATACACAGAGTACAGTTTTTAGTTTTGTTAGAACCTTTTATTATCTAGGATTAGTGTCAGCTTCTGCTATTTGTTTTAAGAAGCTTTGGTGCAGTATCAGGAATCACTGCAGAGAGCCCTGGGAGCAGTAACCACTGAGACAAGGTATTTGAATTTATTCACTCTTCTGAGGTGCCCTTATGTGGTATCAGTAGGGTGGAGGGGCACTCTCCTTGATTAACAAGACATTGAAATTTGCTAAAAAAAGTGCTCAAGCCCAGCTCAAAGCTGCACTCAGTAGCTCACCTGTCATTTCTGGGACTGTCATTCTGCCAGCAGCAATGTGGCCTCTTCCTCCTTGTCTATCACCTCCCTGACTCCACAAGGTCGGCATGACCCAGCGCTGACTCCCCAGCTGACATTTACCCCAGGTTTTTTACGCTGTGCCAGTTGGTTTGGCACGGAAGGTCAGTTTGTCTAACATATCCTGCATGAGATGGATGTCTCTTTCCGGCATTCATGCATTTCTCTTCAGCAGTTCAGCACAGAGCCTTTAATGATTCTGGATTATACAAAGAGATGCATAGTGCAATATGGCATTCACTGGATACAGTTATAATGACCAAATTTCACCTGTTTCAGGCAGATGATTTCTATCCTATGCTTTGCAAAGCACCCCTGCATGCAGCAGCATCTCAGTTTAACAATAATCAATGCACAGTGTAATAAATTCTTTACACTGAATAACAGGTGACACAAACATTCATCATATGACACTGAATAGATGTATCATGCATTGGAAATCTTCCAGTCTCAACATCAGCGTACCTACTGCACTCGTCATCTAGCACAAGTGCTTTCCCATTTTCATTTCCTAAGTGTCTTTCTGCATGCTGTCAAAGCTCCTCTTTCCTTTTCTCAAATCCTTTAGTTCCACTGTATGTGTCACTCTTGCAGTGTAATGATTCCAGACCCTGCTATGTAGTTCATTTGTTTGCAATATACCACATTTGTTTCTAATGCAAGTAACTTCATGTTCCTTTTAAGTGTATGTCATTCTCTCACCTTGAAAATTCATAGGTAAGATTATCTCTTTTCTTCCTCTGCATGTAAATTACGAGAAGTTACAAAATTCTTCACTGACTACAGTTTAAGCTGCTGCTATACTTCTTTTAGTGCACTTTTTAATTTGTGAGCTATCTTTCACATTAACCATTTACCTGCTTTCCTCAGCCTGGCTTTTATTGCAAAACATAATTTTATTGGGGTATTTTTTTGAACTCCCACAAACTGTCTTAGCACAGCAGTCTGACCTCTTGCATCGCTTTTGGATCATCTGGCTTTTACCTGCAATGTTGTTCTTTTAGTTATAGTCAGTGAGTCTGTGCAGAACTTCTCATGTGTAAGGTTTTTATAACTGTTTTTAAGTTTAGCAGCCTTAGCCTTCCAGCCTTTCTGATGTTTTGGGAGTCTTTGTCCTTCTAAGTTTTTGACAAAAAATATTTTACAGCTTCCCACTATAATTACTCACATAATATTATGCTACAGCAGCTCAAGTGTGATTGCTTAAGTGTCTGAGTAGGGCATCTCATGAAAAATTCCTTCTACAAGCATAGCTTTGTACTTGACATTTCTATACGGAAGCCGTTATACAAGAGATTAATTCTTCTCCTTTGGGCTCAGTGCAGTTCTTATCTGTGTGAGTGTTCCTGTTGACTACAAAAGGACTTTTCATATCAGTCATGATTGTAGGACTGGACATATATTGGAGACAGTTTAAAGCCTGTTCAGCAGGCTTGTGGTGTGGAGTGGAATACATATCCTGTGCCAAGCGGTCAGGTTCGCACAGCTTATTGCTCATCGCGCTCCAGTGAAAGCCATCCTGTTTGTCCTCTTCATTGCTCTTCCTGCAAAACAACAAATGTCAGAACATGTTGTAGAATAAGAATGAATGAAGGGACATTACACGCTGTTTCTTTCTTTCTTTATAATTTTTTTAAGTAAGTTCAAGAGCTATGAGTTTGCTGCTGTTCCAGTCATTGTTTGGGAGTTTTGCTAATTATCATAGATGTTCTGAACTTTCACATCTAAATAACAAGGAGGTTCTTTATTCTGTAGTAGCACTGGAAAATCTACAGATTAGTTATAAAGTATCATTTGTAAGCATCTGCCAATTATTTTGCAGTTTGAAGTCTCTGTTTTTTCTTTATCTTCCATCTGATTCATCTGCAGGGATTGCTTTTCAGAGGCTATTCACTGTGCCAAGAGAAATGCTTGAGAAAGATATTGTACCTAAGTAAATTAAAGAAATCCTGCATTTCCCCAGTGATTTCTGGGACTACATTTCTTCTGTCTGTAACAATTTAGTTATAAGCATTCTCCATGCAAGTTCATCTTTAGAAAAGGACATTGTGTTTTGATTATTTAGAACTTGAAGTCACAGAGGGCATGTTGTAATTAGATTTACTTCAGTATGAATTGAAAATGTATTGTAGTAATCAGAATCCCCAGGGGAAGGTTTTTAATAAAATCTCCATTTAATTTATTCATATGTGGAAAGAACAGTCAATATTTGAGAGATGAAATGTCAATAAAAGTAAAAAAGTATTAGCATTTGGTGTATGTTACAGTGCACGGCCTTGCCAATTACAATATTGCAGCTTTGTTTCACAAAGCTTCTATGTGCTTTTAAGAATATAATCTCTAAAGGAAAGTAGGATATCTCTTCAAAACAGAGCTTCCTAGTCATGAGAATGGGTAGTTTAATATAAGATACAATCTAAAAGATATAATGGGTATATATTAACGACTATCGTATAGAAGTGAGAAGTAAAATATCTGCAACATTTTTTGTTACCATGAATGAGGATGAGAGAATCATTTTTCTAACATTCATGCGTATAAGGATTCACTGGCATCCTAATGGTGGCAGAGGACACACTGCCTGCTGTTTTATCTTCTCCACTGGCTTGGATAAAATATAGCAATATAAAAATTGTTATGACAGGAAAAATATGGCAGGATGTCATTCCATTAACTTGATGTCCTCTTTAATAAAATTCCAACTTATGCATGGATTCCTGTGATACCAGCCAGTCTCGAGTTTACTGCCAAATCCTGAATCAGTGGCAAAGGGAGAAGTTCTTATTTTCTAGTCAATTCTTCAGGGATGGTACTGTCTGCTTCCATAGCCCCAGACAAACCATCTATAGTAATTCAGAAGAAAAATGCCCCTAAATGGGGTAATTTTCCCTCAGGAGCTGCAGTGTGGCAAAGCATACAGCATAGGATCCAGTTTCATGTTGCTTCTGTGATAAGGAAGCACTGCCTGGAAGCCATGCAGGTCCCTGTTGCATTGTGTGGAGCTTGCTGACCCACCGTGAACACAAATGTGTTCCTTCTCCCCCCCCTTGCTCTAGAACTCATAAGGCGAGTGTTGACCTGCATTGATTGAATTGCACATTTGAGTTGGACTTTCTTCAGCCTGTTGTTTCCTTCCTGTTCAGTGTAGATCCCTTTGTATCCCCCTTCCACCACAACTTCAAGGAATCAGTCAGCAACATTTAAATCTTTAGAGCTGGCAATGTATTTACTGCATTAAAAACATGGTCTTGGTAGGGAAAAGAAAAACCAAACACTTAGTCTCCACTAAAAAATTCCTGCTTGTAAATTTAAATGCGCTTTTCTTAAATATTCTCTAAAACTAGTTTTAAATATCAAATTAGTTTTTTATATTATCTGTGGAAAAGCCTGAGTTAATTTAAATAAATTCCACATGTTTATTCATGGAATAAACAGGAACATGGGGAACATGGGAAACATAGCAAATGCTTTATGTCTATCTACGTGTCTAGCACATTGACTATTTCTCATCTAGAGTACATTTTGGGGTGAAGAGGTAAAAGTCATTTGTTTACAGTATTCTTTGTCTTTGCCTTCCATAATATTGCAGTTCACACAAACACTCACAGAGGCACACACACACAGTCCAAACATCTTCATTATTGTTTGTATTGTTTTATTCATCCTTCAGGTCTCCTGTGATGGCTGGAGGTCTATTCGCTGTCAACCGGAAATGGTTTTGGGAGCTGGGAGGCTATGATCCAGGATTAGAAATATGGGGAGGAGAGCAGTATGAAATCTCCTTTAAGGTAAGTCATCAAGTCACCTTATACAATACTTCCTTACTTTTTGGGTGCAGGACTGATGACCAAGATGCTTTCAGTCAAACTGGCTTTTGTCTTTTAACTAAAATTAATTTAGTACAATAAGACTCTTCCTTAGGAATTCCCAATATTTTCACAGAGAATTATGTTATGAGGATATGCTCCACAAGCCATACAAAAATCACTTTGAGTGCAGCTCCCACTGAAAGTGTGGTAGCTTACTACCATCAAAGAATGAAGTTCTACCTTGTTTCTTTCTTCAAATCTTTTCCAAGTGGAAGAGTCTTTTCCTTCTCTCAGGCTGCATTTACTTCATGTGCAAGTGTTGAGCTCAGCTCAATAAGCCAACAGAGAACTAATCCAGAAAAAAGAAAACTGCATAATTTTCTGCTGAGATCAGTAAGTTTGGTCAACTCTGGAGGTATGATCTCTTGGAGTCAGCTCAGGGAAATGGATGGAAATGGAAAGATAAATTTGTAGACAAAAGTACCCCTTTTCAGTGGCAGTGAATCACTGCTGTGAGCTGTTATCTACAGACCAGCATTTCAAAATCAGATGATTTTTCAATTGCATTTGAAGTATTGTAATGATAAAATATGTAGGGAGTTTTCAAATGCTGGGGTTTCGTTATATCCTCATATCCTCTATGTTATATCCTCATGTTATATCTTCATATCCGCTATGTGGACATGCGTATTCAAATCAGTTACTTGGCTTTTACATGTTACTTTCCTGTGTAAAGTCCTGTTACTTTCCAAGTGCAAAATAAGTATTTGGATTACCTTGATGAGAACTAACATGTCTAATTTAGAAAACTGAGTTTATTGTGTTGCAGTAGACCTGTAACTAGATAGAATTTCATGACATAGATGAATTGAGTCAAGCGCATTTGGATAAAGCTTGGTACTGAAATCAGAATTCATTTAGCTTCAGGATCTTTCTAACCTACTTCCAAACTCCGGTAGTGTAAAGCTTAGTAAATAAATGTAGTATGTCAGCCATGACTAATATCATACATCTTGCTGAATCTGAGTTTCAACAGCAATTAAAACAACAGATCTGAGGCCATTCTGTTGACCGAAACATACAGTGTATCCTGGACTGCCAGGCTGTCTTTAAAGAGGTTATCAAGAACAGCGGAATAGTTTGTATTAACTGTGCTACTCTCATGTTTCTCCAAATAATTTTTTATAAAACAGGAAGGCAGAGGAAATCCAATAGCTAGAAAGTGTATTTAGAATATATTGATTTACCTTCTGTCCATTCACATTGTTTCACAGGCAAATGTAAGTAGTCCCGAGTAGCTGTCACAGTAGTCTTTGACAGGTCACCCATGTTACAGATATTATTTATTTTTTTTTATCATCACAGACTATACTTGTGATGCTCTCCTGTCCTTTTATAGAAACCATGGTAACAGCACTGGAAATTGAGATACTAGGTTGTCCCACTGTGCTTTGTTCAAGTGATAGGTTTTCTTGGAGGCAGCTGTGTCACACTGGGTCTCATTTCAGGCATATCTCCTGATTCATTTCATTAGTATCTGCTGACCTTAGGGTCCCTGTCCTACTTTATTAGTGTTTGAAGAAGAAAAAAAAACAACTACTCTTTAGAAATTGTTGCCAAGTAGAAATAACTTTCTATTGGAAGAATTTAACAGATGAGAGTTTTAAAAAGAAGACTCCTGTTTGGTCTGGAATGACAAAAAAAGGAGAGAAAACTCATGGAGGCAAAAGGGAGAAACAGAAAGGATTGTTTTTTATGATATCAAATCATCAATATCAGCTTGGGAAAGGCTTCTGCTTCAACAGTTTCTACTGTAGCTATAGATTCAATTATCTTAAGACAAGAAGTTAGCTAGCCAGTTCAATTCATGAAACTTGGAAGGATGGTGGACTTGCCATCTCTCTCTTATTCACAAAGTCAGTGAAAAAGCCAGAGGACCAGTGTGGTTCAGTTTCCTCAGCTGCTTGGATTGGTCTGAATCTATGTCTTACCTTTTTGGTATGTCTTACCTCTTACATCTGTGGCCTCTGGAAGCATGGTAGAATGAGTGCCCTGTGTTGATTCCATGTCTCACATAAATGTGATTTTGCTCGGCAAATAATTATTTGGAGTACCCTGACTGAAAAATTTCTCTAACTACCAGATTAGCTATTCTCACACATTTCCCCTTAGATTAAGCAATTCTTAAGTATTTTGTAAAAATATGATGGGTTTTTGTTAAGAAGTTGCAAAAAGAAGCCTGTTTGAAATGTCCCATAATTGTGGGAAGTTTGTATTTAGAGGACTGTTTCAGGACGATCTTTAATCTCAGAGACATACGTGTTATTCCTTTTATGGTTTTCCTCTATCTTGTTATTAACTTGGAGATCCATTTGTATGAAACCTGCAATATAAAGGTAAAGAAGTAAACAATTTCTCTGCTATTAACATGCTGATGACATGACCTCAGTGTCAGACTGAGGATTCTTGTGGTTAATTCAAATGAAGTGATGTAGTTATGGAAGGATACTCCATGTCCTGTTATGTGCTCCCTGAAATGAAGTAGCGTCTGGTTCATCTTGAACTGGTTGCCCTGCTCCGTGAGCTGGAGTGCAGAATGTTTGCAGATCGTTTTTGGTCCCCAGTGATGCATTTTAAACTGTACAGATTGACGGACTACTGTCGTGGTTTAAACCCTAGCCAGACAGCTTGTTCACTCACTCCCAGTGAGTGGTGCCGGGCTGAGAGCAATCGAGGGCACACCCCCCACCCCCCCCGGGGCTCTCCCCTTCCCTGCTCCCAGAGGGACAGGGAGGAGGATCGAAAGAGTACAACTCCCACGGGTTGAGACAAGAACAGTCCAGCAACCAATGTACAACACAGATCACCACCGCTACCACCAACGACAACAATGATAAGAGAAAATAACAAGGGAAGAGAATACGATACCACCCGCCAACAAACAAGTCCCACCCGGAAGCCCGTGTCCTTCCGGGTAACTCCCAGTCACCCCCCACCCCGGGCATGACGTGCTGTGGTATGGAATACCTCTTTGGCTGGCTTGGGTCAGGTGTCCTGTCTCTGCTTCCTCCCGGCTTCCCCTCCTCCCTGGCAGAGCATGAGCCTCACAAAGTCCTTGGTCAGGGTAAACATCACTTAGCAACAACTGAAAACATCGGCTTCACCAGCACTGTTCCCAGGCTGGAAGTCAAAACACAGCACTGCACCAGCTACCATGAAGGAGAAACATGACTGCTACTGCTGAACCCAGGACAACTACTATAACCCTTATGCTTAACATTTTAACAGTAGGTCCAGGTACTGTAAAATCCAGGTAAGCTGTGGCATGACTTTAATTGGCACAACTGTTCTGATGCAAAGTAAAGCTTACAGGCATGTTCAGGAAGATTTTTCACAATGTTTGTGTCAGATATCATTTTTATATGTCCAAATTCACTGGCGGAAAATGCACATTTAAGAAACAGTAAATGTTTGATATTCTCTGGCCTAATTTTATTTGGAGAACAATTTATTAGATGTTGGAATGAAAATTTACTCCACACAAACATTCACACATTATACAGGGAAAAGATCACTTAAAAATAAAGATCTTATTAAGCATCTTCTCAACCAAAAGCCTCTATATTATTGTACCAGAGACTTCCGTAGTCATCCCCACAGCTCAAGTTACAGAAGTGTTTGCTATAAAGCAGGTGGGAAGCCATGAGTGCAAAGTGTGGGCTTACAGAGTCAGAGATACTGGATCTTTCAGAGAAGTATGATAGCTATGTCTGTGCTAGACTCAATAAAATAGTTTGTCTAAAGTCCTCTGACTTAAGGAATTATTAGCTTCTTCATCATGAACTTAATATCAACTACTCTGCTCTGCTCACTGTAATATTCTACTGCATTCTGTGAACCCCGGACACACAAGGAATTGAAGCCTGGTACTGGACCTAGGGCTGCCATGCAAGCTCAAAGGAATCACTAAGAATAGCAGAGCCGTATTGCTTTATGAGTTCAAGACACTAAGACAGAGTTCAAGGACTGATTAAAAATTACATTAGCAGGACAAGTGGTTGCCTGGAGGGTCAGGCAGTAGTTCCTGACAGGAAGAGGTCGAACCAGATTTAGGATAGGTATTCAGGATAGGAAGCTTGGGGGGAAAGTGTCAATTTTGATGGTTTTCTCTTGCTGTTCCACTAGACATGGCCTGGGGTGACAGACACTAGGCCTCAGTGCAGAGCACGGTCCTAACCAAAAGTTAGGGGAGGAGGGTTGCATTATCTCATTGTACAGGGACAGAAGGTGGGTGGTGTGGGCAAAAATAAATGTGTATGTGTTTGAGGGGGATGGGTGTTTGATGGAAAGATACGAGGGAGAGTGAGCCTGCAGTGAATCTAAATTTACTGCAGCACAATGTAGTAAGTTTCTTCAAAATACAGTACACTTTATAATGTTTCTGTGACATTTGAAATTGTGTCATAGTAGGAAAGGAAACTTCCTCGACTTCAGGAATGATTCTTCCAGGTGCTACATTGTCAGGAACACAGAATGACAGGTTAAAAAAAAACAGGAAAAAAAAGCTGCTGCTTAAAAATTTGTTTGACCTTTATTTCCCCAGCTACAAAACCCAACATATTTCTCTGTTGTTCTTTTCTTGCTTGCTATCATTACTGCTTGGACAGCAGCAAATGTAGCACTGGATGCCATGCTGATAAGCTGACTGCTTTTTTCAAATCAGAGCACACATATGCACATTCAGTGGATGATGAAGCAGACACAGCCCATGTCTGAAAGTATGACCTCTTCATTAAATAGTTTCTTAGATTAAGTTTTACATAAGAAATAATGTGCAGCATTTTAATCTTTGGCAGTGTAACCTCAGAATCAATTTTTTTAATTAAAAAGATGTATGATGTCGTGCTGACGACACTGTTCAGCGTGTGCTAGACGTGCAAAAGCTGGCAAAGCAGTGAAACTTGACCTGATTAATAGTG